TATTGTTATGTTGAATTATTCCCAAACAAGGTTTACAGTTTTCAAATATGTAAATGTCTAAGCCCAGACAACTAAATCCTCATTTACTCTCATAAATTATCAGGCTGGATTTCAGAGATTTTAAGAACTCTCAATTATCTCTCTACTGCCAAGGAAGAATTTTGTGTGAGCTCCTGTGTAAACAAAGCCCCTTGATTCAGTGATCAAATATGACATGTTGTCTACACAAAGATGCCCCCACTTTTGAAATGTGTTGACTAAGCCTCTGGCATTACTAGATGCCAGTCAAAATAATGGTTATTAACCAAATTGTGGATTTGCTTGATTAGCAATGGAAAAATGTGAGTCGCAGCCCGTATCTCACTGCTCATTGCAGTCAGACTGATGACACGCACTCCATTATCAGTATTTCGGAATAAACATGCTTTGCCTATTCAATTTAGACAGAAATGAGACTGTTGTATTATGCTGTCTTGAGATGAACAAAAATGAATTTATCTCTAGCTATCCACTTCTGTATTTTAAGTATTATTCCCTGTCTCACCTTTTCTTGCACCTAATATAAACCCCCCTGTCTCAGACCCTGAAACAGGAGGGCCACAGCTATAAGCCATTTTGAAGGTCACCTCTAACTTCAAAGTATCTATTTCTCTAGAACTGAAAGAGTTTTGATGTTAGTGAAGTATAAAATATTTTCCTTTTGCTGCAACATGTGCATACAATAACGGAAATAACAAGAAATATTCTTGCTAATACAGAATCATCAGCAAGATGCTGACCAGTTTCAAATCACTGCGTACCAGGGTATCTGAAAAGTGAAGCTTACTTCTTAAAGTTCATAGTATTAATAAAAGATGCTTGCAGCTGCTGGTGGTTTACAGCTATAGAAAAATGTCAGAGGTTAGGGTAGGGCCCACCTTGCTATTGAGAGAATCTGCTCAAGAATACAGGTAATTTACCTGGGGTTTATGCTATTGACACGACAGACAGGACATCCTGGGGTCATTGCCACCATTTTGCCAGCAAGGTCTGATGTCTGTGCTGTTGCGCTCTTGATAGCACAATCATCAGCATACAGTGAAATCCGTAGCAGTCAAAGAGTATTTGACCGTAAGGCTGCCTGCAAAGCTTGAAGTCTTAACCTGCTACTTCACCTTAACATGATAATCTACAGCTCTCTACAAAAGCATCTAAAAAGGTAGAACGCGCATTCCACTTCTGCTCTCATAATCTTTGCCATTTCCATAATGAACAGAGATGCTAAAAATCAGCTGCAGCTGGCACAACTAATACCTGAGACAAAACCAGGGAGACGTTGGGTTTTTTTTCATTCTCTCTTATGCCTGAGGAAATAGTGTATATATGGCTCCTTGCCCATCCACTCAAACACTTAAGTCACACACCTATGCCTCTGGAGATGGGTGTTTGTGTGTGTGGGAGGCAACGCACAGGGATGAGGTGAGGTCTGGCAGGCAGCACCATGGCCTGTTGAAACCTCAAACCACACTTCATGTACACAGTTTAGTGCTTACTTCATCCACAAACCCAAACTGGTGTCCAGTCCATTTACGTATCTAAACTCTTGCTAGCCCAATTCATATGCTAAAACCAGGACCCCGTTGATCGGGACGCCTGCCCCACTTCCTCACCTGACCACATTGGGGTGCTCGAACGTCTCCAGGTGCCTCAAAACTGCCACCTCTCGGATGGTGGACAGTGGCATCCCCTCCTCGCTGGTCTGCACCCGTACCCGCTTCAGCGCAACAAAGCGACCTCCGTTCTTCAAGTCTCGGGCTTTGAACACCTTCCCGTAGGCTCCTTCCCCAATCTCAGCAACACATTCATACTGATGGTCAGCCAGGTTCGTGCTGTCCTTATCCATGCTGGCGCTGTTCCTCTTCCTCCTGTGCTGCAAGTGCTTTGGGGCAGCTCTCAGTCTCACCCGCTTTCTGAAAACTAATACTTTGCTCGTATTGCAGATATGCCAAGCACTTGGTACCTCTGCCAGAGGGGCAGTAGGAAGCTCTTGCCCTCCTGTTCCCGTTCCTCTTCTGCACAGGCCCCAATGTGCCTCCTCTTTTGGCCACCAGGAACTATCATACAGTCTTTGGGAGCATTCTCTGTGTAAAGCCAATTAGATCTGGAGGACAAACCAAGCAAGAAAAATCAGTTTACTTCATTGTTTTGCAACATTCAAAAACTGAGAGAATTAAACTAATATGGTAGATAGCTACATGCAAAGCAAAAACGTGGTGCACAGGAAGACGTGAACCACCAGGGTAACACGTGTATCAATATCCCTGCATGGCTGATACAACACTACAAAGTTATCGGGCTGTGCCTAGAAGGCTGCAACACACAGCTACAGAGCAACCACATGCTGTGGGTTTTTACGGAGCAAGGGGCTGAATACGACGACCCTGTGAGACATGGGCGATGAGGATGGCAGAGCTAACTACGCATTTGTGAGAGGAAGCTACATCTAGGAACTTATGTCAGGACTGCAGGACTCGCAGGTTTCTTCAGTGCACATGGCGGAGTTCTGGAAACATAATCCATGCTATATTACTGTTACTTATTGGTAAATAATAGCATTTGGAGGATTCAGCCTTGATCTGCTCTCCCCTGTGCTAAGCCCTGCACGAACACATCGCAAAAGACAAGTTCCTGCCTCCAAGTGCCTGTGGGGAGGAGAAATATGTACATACTTAAACGACAATAATAATATGTTACCGAGCATTGTGTGCTGAGGTAGATTCAGAAACGTACACTTTAGCAAACTTATTAACATGCAAGGGTCTAGGCTGTGGATCCTGCTACCACTGGGTGTGCGACTGGCAGTTCCTCGCAGACCAGCATGATGAAAGATGGTCTTCAGGAACAGCATGCTATGCCGTGCACTGCATGAGGCTGGAGAGCAGAAGTGCTTCCTCCTGGATCCAGTTTCATTCACACTTTCTGCAGGACTGTGGGCAAATCCTCTCCCCTCACAAAGCTCAACGTCTATCCTCTCCTTTCCCCCTGCCCCTTTTAATATGATGCTATTGTGACCTCTGGGGCTGTAACTCTCTCCTACACGGCATTTTTACCCTGCTAGGATTAAATTGCCCAGAGAGCTCAGTCGGGGATCCCCTAACTTGAATCCACGCATGAAGCCAGAGGTATTTTGTACATTTATGCTGATCTTACACCTCAGTGGCAGACGA